TCACTTTGGTATAATTTTACAACTTTTAAATTGACCAGAATTTAAGTTTCAGTACCTAAAAATCGGAAGGTCAAACTGAAGAATCAGAATTGAAGTATTTTTAAGTAATCGGCATTGAGTTATTTTTGAAAGAGTCAATAAAAACATCTTACTGGTTGGTAGTTTAGAGGAAAAGAAGAGCCAGTAAGATGTTTACCCCTCTCACTTTATAATTACCCAAGATTATTGGGTTACTCGCCGGATTACAGAGAATACTGACCTCTCCTTCGATTGATTAATCAGTAATGGATCCATAGAAAATGATTCAACAGACCACATTTCTCCCATATTAGCTTATTGCTAATATGAGTTCCCTGTTAAATTCATAATTGAACTGAAAATCGTTCTCCCCACACAGAAGATATTCAGGCTCGGTCATTTCTGAAAGACCTCCCTGAACCTTATTATCCTACCAGAGCACTTCACTCTCAGGCTGCTGGTTTATTTGTGGTTCCTAGAATTTTAGACAGTAGAATTCAGAGGCTTCAGTTTCCATAAGTTCTCTCTCCTTTTAAGATTTTAAAGTTCAAAACCTTTCTTTTTTTTTTTAAAGTTTCTATTTAGGACTGGATCAGGTGACCCTGAACCATCCCTTAGTTATGCTGCAGTTGGCTTAGGCTGCTGGGGGCTTCCCGTGATGCACTGAGTGTTTCTTCAACATTCGTCTCTTTTTACTTTCTGTGTGTTTATACAGCCCGACTGTATTCAGTCATTAGGGAATATTCAACTCTGGTTCTTTCTCCCATAGTATGTCTTTTGTCATCTCTCTCTCTCTATGCTCTTCACTTTCAACCCCAAGCGGTCAAGGCGGACGGCCGTCCCTCCCTGAGCCTGGCACTGCTGGAGGTTTCTTCCTATTAAGAGAGTTTTTCCTTCTACTGTAACCAAGTGTTTGTTCATAAGCGATTGTCTGATTGTTGGAGTTTCTAATATTGTAGCATCTTTACTATACAGTACAAAGTGCCTTAGGTGACTGATGTTGTGAATTGGTCTTAAATCTCTTAGTATCCTACTGAGAGTTTTTTCTTTCTTTTCATCCCCCCCTCCCTCAAAACTACAACTAAAATGTAAAGTTTCTCAGCATTAATTAAAATAATAATGAACTAATTTACTGTTTCATTAATTTTCAAAGCCATTTTTAAAAGGCACCAATAATCCTGGTATCAACTTCACAACTCTTATTTATAGTACTTTTTTGTGCCTATTTTTAGAGCCTAACTTATTGCTTCATCGCTTGTTTTGTCAGATCAACAATCCCAAAGTATTAATTTCAATAGTATGAGGAGGAGAATACTGGCAAAGTATCTGATCTGAGAGGCTGAAAGTTACAGCGAGTAATGTGAGCTGATAAAAGGCAGTAAAAAAACAAGGTTGTGATTATTATTTATTTATTTTTTACCCCTTTGCATTTTAAAGACCAGAGAAATGAGTAACTGAGAATACGAGTGTTCGGCATACGAGTGACTAAGCAAACCAATCGCAAGCTTTAACCTTTGGTGTTCAAAATGTCAGGTAACATAGGATTTCTTATTTTGTAGCTTCAGGTTACTATCAGAAATGTTTAAGACATTCAAATATTCACTGGAGAAGGATCATTTTTACTTAATTGAAACAGTGGTACCTTACCAACAACAGTTGGTACACTCTGTACTTTAAGAACATAACTGCTATACTACTATCCAATACGTACTTTTTTTTTTTTTTAATTGTATTTTACATTCCTATAGCATCATTTATAGAGTGGCTACAGTTATATCTACACTGCTTTCACACTGGCCCAGCGCCCTTGAGTCAGCTTGGTTTTTCTGTGCCTTACAGGGAGAAGAAATGGGTGACTGTTGGAGACACGTCCCTTCGCATCTACAAGTGGGTGCCAGTTACAGAGCCCAAATCAGATGATGTGAGTTCATTATCATCACCACCACCATCATCAAAATCATCAAAAGCTGTATACTGATTTATCCAAGCTCCGGGCTGTGTTTGTTCATCTTCCTGTCACTTTATTGCACGTTGGAACCAGTTTTACTAACTAACATCGCGCGTATTCTCCTGCTTCAGAAGAACAAGAACAAGAAGAAGGGCAAAGACGAGAAATATGGCTCAGAAGTGACGACTCCAGAGAACAGCTCTTCTCCAGGGATGATGGACATGCATGGTGGGTGTTTATGCCATGCTCCAAAAGCCTATCATCTGATATTCTGTCATAAACTGTGGAGTCTCCCCACAGCCACTACAATCCAAAATATAAAATGTATTTATAGTTGTATGATACAGCTTCACTTTACAGAAAACGGCAAAAAAAAGGAGAAAAGTAAGTGAAGCTGTAGGACTTCCAGACAAGCTTGGGAAAGTGAGATAATGTATTCCAGGCATTTTTGGAAGGAAGTAGTTCTTCCATTGGCTGAAAGACTCCAGTAACCATACTTGCATGAGTAACAACAGGCAAACCTTTATCCAGTCTTTGGTCTGAACACGCCACCTATCATCTCAAGGCAAAAAACCAGAAAACAAAAAGAAAACCAGGCGGGCCCTGTGCTTTTTTTTTAATCAAAGGTTTCTAAACTGGAGGAAATGGTGGATTTGTTACTGACTACTTTTGAGTAAGACATTAAGTTGATTTGTTTTTGCAGTGAGCATTCCCTGCAAAACCTACAGTGTGTGTGTTCATGCTAATGAAGAAGCATGTCACCCAGTGTGTCTGTGTGGCTCATTGATGTGTTTTTAATAGTTTTATGTTTTTTTTTCCCCAAAGACAGCAGTGGTGCTATGACACAATAATTAGCTAGATTTTATCACAGAGATTACACCCTGATAATGATAAGCGGAAGAGAATGGATGGATTTTTTTTCTTGCCTTTTTAAAGTTCCCTGTTTTTCCTTTGCATATTGTTTTTTCTTCTGTTGCATTATCATGGCGTGAAAATTGACAGCGTAGACCCTTTAATACTCTTTGGAGTCATTCATTTAATTTTTTTTTGATTATGAATCAAGTATTTATAAAAAAAAATGAGCATGACACTTAATGCTGCAAACCAAAATCTGTTTGCCTTTAAAGTGACTGTGCAATACTTTCAATCTGTGTCTTTGCTAGATGACAACAGCAACCAGAGCTCCATCGCTGACTCGTCCCCAGTGAAACAGGAAAACAGTTGTAGCACCAGCCCCGCCCCAGAGCCCACCTCCACATCACACCGTGACAATGGTGAAGCCAAGACTGACCAGAGCCCAGACAGCAAGAGGGGTTAGGCACTTGCAAACACACTTCCAAATAAACAGACAGACACACATACTTTAAATGACAGTCTTATCCAAAGCTCCTCTAGCAGGTGGTGGAGTTGCATTGTCAGATGGGTGAGGAGCCCCTTCCTGTTTTTGTTTTTTATCCTCAGAACAAATAGCATCACACTGTGAGAAGATTAAAATGACTGCTTCTACATAGTCAAACACTCATACGGGGACCACAGACACAGTGCAGCTGCCGTGTTGTTCCCCCCGGGACTTTAACCGTCAACCATCTTTTACCGCCACCCTCAATTCATCTTAATGCCAAAACCCCCTCTCATACATTCACATTCTAACTTACATATTATATTTTTGCATATCTCAATGTACTCCTCACAGCAGCAGTCTTGTGGGGATTGAACCTGGAAATATTGCACCACGAATTTGAACTGAGTGCACAATAAGCAAAGATTAAACATGTTATACTTTTCAAAGAATAGTGTACCATTCAATTATGGAACACAGAAGTAAAAACATTACAAGAAATAAATCCTAGAATGAGGTAAACAGGCCAATGAGTGTGTCAGTGTGTGTCTATAGTCTTGCAACCATAACATTAATCAAACCAATTGTTTCAGAATTGATCATAAATAAGCTTCAAGAAAAATTGCCAAACACACTGAAAAGAATTGGTGTAACTCCAAAAGTGAAAACTGTAGATAAATTTGAGGGTGTTTTTGGCAGTTCATCTCTGTGACCACACTGTCATTAAAGTATAAAGTATAAGACAATTCAACAGGTATGTGTGCTCTTGTGCTGATCTATCATTGTCTTAACAATCTCCAGGTAAGAGCATCCCTTCATCAGAGACCTCAGAGAGAGCACAAAGTGCCAAGAGAGACAGCCTGTCCTCAGGGGAGAAGGACTCTTCAGACAGCAAAGCCACTCAGGTATGAACACATCTGTCTATAAAATTTGAATCGGTGTCATATGATCTGCTGTTGTAACCCCTAGAGGGAGCAGCTCAAAGAAGAAGAAAGTACATCCACTTTACTTCGCTTCTCAGACCCAGAAGATATCCTTTATATACAGTCTATCATATTACTATTTATTAGTCCAGAAAAATCCTCAATATTTTCTTTTCTTCTTGCCTGTAGGACCTAGAGGATGAAGCCCCGCCCAGCAAGAAAAGCAAACTGGAGTCCTCATCTCAGGACTTTGAGGAGAGTTAAATGTTTGGGGCTGAGTCATTACTCTTCTTCAGCCTCCTGTCTCTTTCCCTTTGTCCTTCCTCCATTAACTCTAGATAATTTAGGGCTAATGGACATACTGGCTCTCCTCTCACTCCTGTTTTTCTTCCCTCACCTTCTCCTCTCTACCTAAACTAAAAGGGATAATGGACGTCTCCCACCCTTCCTCTCTCACTTTCACCCTAATGGCTGCTTCCCCTCCAGTTTGTCATCTTTGCCCCTGACACTCCCCTGTCACAGAGGGAGAATGGATATTACCTCTGTTCACTGGTCCCCCTCCGTGCTTCCTTCCAGTCCTCCACACTTTTCACTAATGCCAAGAGACACGCCGAACCTGGGCTGCAACCCCCTCTGTGAACAGGGGCAGCGCTGTCAGCCAAGCCACCACCAGGCCAGATGACAAACACTGACCTGCTTCTGTGACTAAAAGAGTTAACACTGGGATTAGGATGAGGTCAATCGCAGACACTGCTCTGAGACCATTTTTTAAACGTTTCACTGCTAAGGGTTTAGCTCAGGATAACTGAAGAGGCTAGCCTGGTCTCAGATCAGCGGCTGCGGGGGGGAACCTCCACCCTAGGACCACGTCACTTCAATCCTCCCGATGCGCCTCCTGTTAGACTAATGTTCTATATTTGTTTAGGAAGTGTTTAGGGTTTTTTTCTCAGGAGGGTCAATGCACTGTTATGGTATGTCACAATCGATCACAGATAGATTTGCTGCTGTAGTGGATGTCTTTTTTCTCTATCCATGAAAAGTTCACCATTGACATATGTTTTTGTTTTTTTTGCTTTCAAAGAGAGTTTGTTTATGGTTCGTAGAGGAAGAATATAACAACGGTACTGGTTGAGATACACTCTTGGTTAAGTAGTAAAAACAGGCATAGCTAGCGTAGGTCCTGGAGGTGTGCCTTGAGTTGCTATGATTAAATACACGTTTTAGGTCAAGCAGGTTTTGAATTACAATTTTGGTGCCATGTTTTGTTTTGTTTTTTGCCTTACAATTATCACTAAATAGTTTTAGCCGATATTTATTTTTTACCTACAACTGTTTTTCATTTAAAAGGAATAGATGAACATTTTGGGAAATATTTGCTTTCTTGCAGAGAGTCAAACAAAAAATATGGCATTGTCACAGCCAGGCATTAGTTAGCTTAGCTTGGTATAAAAGCTGGAAAAGGGAAATGGCAGGCCTGGGTTGGTCTAAAATCAGTCAAATAAGAACTAGGAACACCTGTAATGTTGCAGCAACACACAAATCCACCAGGTTAAATTTCCTTGATGGGTGTCGCCCAAAGTAGGACGGGACAGGAAGTGGCAGAGGGAGAAGCTAGCCTAGCAGAAATAGTATTTGATTTTGGTTATTTTACTTTTGTGAATTTTTCTCTAGGGGGTCACAGCTTCTGTCAAAGACAGTCTGGCACATAACTCCCTGTGAATGACACGACTTAAGTTTTAGATTTGGTTTTCTTTTGTTGTTGTTTTTGTCCAAAAGCTTTGGAGATGTTAGTAGGTGAAACTAGCTTACATGTTAACATGCTATTTATTATTTATTTACAATTATTATTTTTACTTTTATACTAGAATGAGACGAAGAAAGAGACGAAGTCCCTCATTACTTCTTGGCACATAAGAAAGTGTCTAACTGTCTCCTGCCATGTAATCGCGTTATATCGCATTATCATAAAACTCTCTGCTAGGAAGCAAATTGGCGTGCTATTCCTTTACACAGTTGGAGACTGGAATTTGAACACTACCCAGAAGTTAATTTAGTTTTGTCTTGTGAAAATGTTGCAATTTGTAAACTTCAGTCAGAACACCAGTTGTTGGTCTTTGTCTACTTCAGGTGTTTGTTTGTTTTTCTTTTAGCACCTTTAAGTAGAAATTGACCAATTTCCTGGACCGGTTTTCCCACCTGCTCCACCATTTAATCACTTCTCCTCTGTGTAAGTCTTCTGTGTATCACTACTTCTCTATGACCTACTAAAGTCTTTTAGCTCAAACATTGGTTCTAATCCTCCTTCAAGGTGCTGTCTGTTGGCTGAATCCATACACATGTGGCATCAAGCTCTTGGTTTTGTGCAAAGTTGTGCAATTTACTTGAACTTTGTTGTGTGGATTCAGGCCTGTGACCTCTAATGTACAACCTCACACATCTAAGATTTACTTTCATTAATTGAGATTTCCTTGTCAATTTGGATTGAAATGAATTGACTCACCACAAATCAATGATTTCATAACATAACAGGGGCTTTATGATGCAGAATTACTTGATCAGATTTCAGCAAATCAGCATTCACATGGATGGAGAGAAAAGAAATAAAAAAAAAAAAGTCTTGGTATAGAGGACGGATTAGCATATACCTCATTCCCAGTCCAGCAGCGCTGGAACTTAAAATGCTATTGTATTGACATTAACAGTTATAAACAGCATTATGTACACTCAGTTTAAGAAAAAAAATCTCACTTATGTTGTAGCTTTCACCTGATCGAGCCAATTGCTTATAGTTTGCTCATAACTGTAAAAAAAGAAAAATGGAAAAAAAGAGCTGTGAGATATAAGATCTTGTATGTTTTGGGGTTTTTTTTTTTCTTGGGACCATATTGTTTTTCTTTAGATCTTGTACAGATTTATGGTTTGGTTTGACTTATTTATTCCATCAGTAGTGCTTGGTTTTTATCATGTCCAATGGTTTTGTTTTCTTAATAAAAGTCACAAAATTTTCTGGGTGTTGATGTTCAGTGTTTGTTGAGAAGAAAAAGGGCACGAATCATGAGGACATCTGAAATAGCAGCCTTATCAAAGTATGCTTTTTGCTTTTGAGTGGCTTGTTTCAGCTTGCTTTTGCCAGTATGTGAAAGCTACATATTCAGACACACTTTTTTTTCATACCTTTGTTACAGTGGAACAAAGACATGAAAATATTAATAGTACGACTGACTGCCCAAGGCCCCAATACCAGGAGGGGCCCTTGGAAGCCTCAAATGAACAGTTTTCCATTCACAATTTTTACTTCTACTTAATGTAATCATTAAGTTACCTGAATAATTAAAAAAAATAGTGGAGGCTTAGATGCCACTTTGACAAATGCTTTAGTCCATTCAGTTCTTACAGAACAGTGCTCAACTCTTACAGTACAGCTAATTAATTTTATTAAGTTGACTGCTAATGAAGACTGAGTCATATCTATAATCAAGAAAGCAAAACTGGGTTATCAAACAAGAAAGAGAAAAACCAAACTTCAGCCGTTAGCAAAACATTTATGCAACCACAATTACCACCATCTGGTGGTCTTCAGATAGAATGTAGGTTTAATGCACGTACACACTGCCTGAATTTCTTTTAGCCAAAAGTTACATGCACGTTTTAGAGTGGTTTTAGCGGTTTTACTTTACATGATTGCCACGTCTTTTTCATGTGTGAATTACACTGCCAAGTTCCAAATTTCTCCTTTTTCCATGCACTCCCACAATATCTGAGGTACTGAAGCCCTGGTTGATTTATATTTCTATTAATGTAACCAAAACAACAGGAAAATAAGTATATCAATTTCACAATGGAGATGTTTTTATGTATATACTTTCCTTATTTTTCTTGTCAGACAACTATTGAAATGTGAAAAAAGTGCATCTGGGACGAGCAGTGGCTGACCGGTAAAGAGGAAAGAAAGGACGAGAGCAGCTTTTCTTTTCTTAGCATTTGTATTGTTCTGTTCAGGAGTATACAGCACATAGAAAACAGTGACATTTTCCACCACATTAACATCTGTAAAATGGTTTGAAACCATTTATAGATGGTGCCTGAAATTGTTACATATAAAACATTACACCAATAATTAGACGCATCACTTATAACAATGTTTTAAAGTCTATACAAATAATTTTCCCCTTGAGTGAAAACCTCCTTATAGAATGTCAGCCTTGTCAACAGGGCAAAAAAATAAGATGTACACATAAAAGCTATCTTTTTGTTCCATGGCACTGTGTACACATTTAGCAGAAGGAAACTTCTGATTAGTATTTACAAAAACTAGGGTCAGTGGTTAGTCATGTATTATACACTGTTACACTGGAAGATTCAATATGATCCAAAATTGTGCTTTAGTATAAGATATATCAAATAAAAACTGCTATACAGGGTTAATTTAAAGAAATAGTTTGGCAATTAAGGTAATTCACTTAGTCGCTTTCTGACAGCTAATATTCTTGTAGTAGCACCTCTAAAGCTCACAAACAGTTATATGATCATGTTGCTTTAAATAGTACAAAAATGTAAAAAAGAAAAAGAAAAAAAAAGGCAATTGGTTTTATTTTCAACACATTTATAATGCTTCCCAATATTTCTTCAATATGTGCTACGCTAACCTGGTGTAGCTTTAAGCTGACTGCACTTTAGAAATCCATTGAAATCCATTCAGTACCATATCCCTGCTGTTTCTTTGTTTATTGTGCTTATAATTACAAAATCCACCAGATGTTAGGATTACCTTTAATTTCTATATATGTGCTAACGTGTGCTTTAATGATGTATTTTGAGGTTATCATTATTTTGTAAGAAACCAGGTTATACAGGAGTTACACATGCTGTGTGGTAACTATGTTCACAGTAAATGTTTTTAGTGTATAATAAGGTGGCTTTCTTAAGGTAACTTTAAATAATGATGTATGTTCATTTGACAAAGTAAAGTCCAGTTGTATTGTGACTTTTAACAGTCACAATACAACTGGAATAGACTTTAGTAGTCAGTGTCATTATTAAACTCTCAAAGCGAAAAAGCAGAATTACTAAAATGTCAAACTTTTGCTTTAAAGGTACTTGTTGTAAATTCCTTTTTTGAAATCATTCTTCACGAAATAGAGAAAAAAAGAGAACTAAAGTTTAAGCAGGGCTGGACTACACTATGTGTAATACCAATTTCCACAACAAGGTGGTGTAGCAAGTCAGTGTAACGTACAACTCTATTTTGGGCATTTTCAGCCTATTAGTACAGTATAGAGAATAGACAGGAAAGCAGACTCAAATCCCTGGTCCCCTGCTTAAAAATGCTATTTGTAGGGGTACCCAGTGTAACCTACATTTAACCAAGCAAATAACTATGAGCACATTCTTATTTTCAACACACCTGCTGATCAAACCCTGCACCTTGGCGCTGCAAGTTTTCCTTAAATGCCGGAGAGGGAGATTGCAAAAAGTACCTTTAAAGAGGTCGGCATGAAAGTTAGTGCTCAATGATCGGCACCGTCCTCCTTGAAAAAATAGCTTTTAAATACTTTGAGAAGAAAACGTACATTTACTGAATCTTTAAAGTGGATAGTGCAAAGCTATCAAAGTTAGTAGAGGCTTCTGGAGTTTCATTTGGGCAGTTTCCTGTAACATTAGGCAGATGCATTTCAAAAGCCCACCTATACTACAGTAGTCCTAACACTGACTATACACCTTCAATCAGTGCTAGCTTATTTTCCCTTAAGGGTGTCACTGGCTAATAAAAGATCATACAATAAATAACAAAATGCAACTTCATTATTAACCTTCAGTAACTTTCTACTGCATCGTTTGAAACATATCAACCTGTGGGAGACTAAACAGGAAAATGTGTTTATTCCTGATGTTGAAAAAGCTGTTGAAACCTAACCATGAGATCTGTTTAGTAGCTTTTGATTAAGTTCCCCATTCATCACAATATTGCAGGCAACTTTTAAATTGTAAACTTTTAGGCATCTCAGGAAATGGTCCTTAAAAATCTCTTAGAAATAAGAACAATGTGAGATTATAATGAAAAGATCAGCAGTTACTAAACAGACAGAATTGTGTTATTTAGTTAAGCAATAAAACTTTATACTGAAAAAAGTACGTGTGAAGGTAAACCCATGCTTTGAAAAAAGGGCCTGAAATTATTATTTTTTGGAAAGTACCATTTCCAAGGTCAAGATTGAACTATATCCATATCAGAAAATATTTACATTTTCAGCATTTAGGTTATTACTAGAACTTAGGTTGCTAAATCTGTTTAAACAAATTAAGTCAAAATTATTTTAAATATTAAACTGAACTATTTTAATTGGAAATCTGTGACAAATTTAAGAAAAAGTATGAAATATTACAAGAAATAATATTATTTTATGATCACTTTTATCATAATATTTTATGATAAAGTGATCATGTTTTGAGAATAAGGGGTCATGTGAGAATATGAGAATAAAGTTAAGAAAAAATATCTTACTATTATAATATAATATTAATTTGCTAAAGTAAATGCAACAGTCTAAGAAAACAACGTGCCGTAACATTTTGAAAATACACGCAATATTATGAAAATAAATTATTTAAGAAAAAAGAAATCCCCTCACTAAAAATGTCTGTATAACATTTTAAATAATAAAGCCAAATGATTTATTGAAAAAGTTGTAATATTCTGAGAACAAACAAATAAATTTTTACAGTGATGCAGTATTTTTAGAATACTAACTATGATAATTACCATTATAAGAATTTAGTAATAATATTCCAAATGTCTATTTTAATATATGCACTTGAAACAAAGTGTTGAGGAAAATTTGTCTGCTTTTCCTTGTC